TAAAATATACAAAATGTACAAAACTTGAAAGGAACACCAACAAATGAAGAATGTGTTGATTATGTATGATGATCAATAATAATAGATGAACTTTTAAGCAGAGATTGCAATATCAAATCAAGAAGTAACTTATCTTAGTATTTTTGAATTAGTGCCTTTTATTTTATCACATACAAAATCATAAATTTTACATAAATAATGTATGTATTTGTAGTAAAACCAACTTTACAGTAGACCAAGAAAAAGAAAATTTATAATAAACCAAACCCTCGATTGGTATATTTATTAACAATAAAGAATTTCATAGGAACAACCGAACATCTTATTAGAAGACGAAATACATAAACAACTCCTCCAAGTTGTCAACAACGGCCATTTGAACACCTTAACTAATCCCTTTTTCATTTCAACATTTCAAGTAGCTATTAAATGTATCTCGTGAACACCCGAGTCTGGCAGACTATATGTGTGAGTTGCACTCACCAGTGATATGTCAAATGAACCAATTAAAGAATGACATGTGTAATTTATAATAAATTTTTTGATAAATATAAACTAAATACATTAAAAAAGGAAAAATTTCACATTAGAACAATTGAGCTCCATACTTTTTAATTTTATTGCCCATATTTTAATTTACAACCAATTAGCCCAAAAAAATAGGTTAAGATTCAACATCTAACTCAAATAGGTTCTAAAAATTACTGTTTAATTTTTAAAAAAGATTCATCAAGCTTTTAAATTAATTTTCGAATCAGTAACTATGACTCAAATATTAATTCAACAAACCAAATTCATTTTGGTGGTGAAAATTAGATTTTTAACAAGCTTAAATATGTGGGTTTAAATTCCGAATTTAATTTTGTGAGAAATTTGGAGTGGGTGTTATTTAGACTCGTTAAAAATAGTATAAGGAGGTTGTATATAAAATTTGAAGTCATTTAATGGAGATTTGGACTGGTTTTGAATAATAATTACAATTGAAATAGTGGAAGAAGCTCGTCTACAGACGCTTGTATAAAGGTGTATAATAGTGTATAACGTGTGTTTGTACCCTCATATACACTATTATACAAGATTATACATAATTATGCAAAAAACTGACTTTGTCTTCTTCCTTGCGTCTTTTTCTGAAATTTAACTCAAATCTTGCTCAAATCTACTCCAAATCACTTCAAATTTAAAATTTTGAACTTCTTTTGATATTTTCAATCAATTGGAACAATACCCAATCCAAATAACTAACAAATTCAACAAAAAATCATTTTCAAAAGCAAAGCTTTGAATGGTTTTCAATGGTGGACTTCTACTCTTCAATTTTCTTACATTACAAGCAGGTGACACAAGAGGAGAAGAAGAAAATACACAGTCCCTTGAAGCATATGTAGAAGATGTGAGAAGAAGAGAGTGCAAGCAATGGTTATGAGAAGCAATGGTTGTAAGAACACATGTTTTGAATTTGCAAGTGCTTTCAAAATATGTACAATGTGAGCTAAGTGGGGGTAAAACTATAAAAACATGAGCCAATTTTTGTTATGGTGTGAAGTCACATGTATTTTCTTATAATTCTTTCTTAAAAAAATCTTTTTATTAATTAACCAACCTCCCCCCCCCCTCTCTTTTCATCTTCTTCCTTCTCACTCCCCCTCTAGCCCCACCCCTTCCCCATGAATAACCCCTCACACTGATTTTCTAGCACTTTCCAAGAAATTGAATGACAAAAACCCATATAAAATTGAATGAAATTGAGTGGTGGTCAATGATTTTCGGCATTTTCACCCATGAAATTGAGCGAAAATTAGAAGAAGACATTTTACTAACATTCCAACACCCCTTTTGTATAATATGAACAAACAACCCTGTTTTCTCACTTCTTCTCCCTAGAAAATTTTGTTTTTCACTTATTCCGAAGTATATTTTAGTCATGGCGAGGAATGAAATATTTTCGCGACGGTGGAGGGCGGAGAAGATGGAGGAGTTTGATAATTTGTGCCCGTCTTTTGATTCTGTTAAAGTTCATGTTCTTGCTGCCGATGATAGACTCGTCGATCGGGAAGTTATTGAATGACTACTAAAAATCACATCTTGCAGAGGTTGAATGGAAATCCAAACCCCCAATTCAGTTGTTGTGTTTTTATCCACCCCCCCCCCCC